TCTACACCACTGAACACCAAATCAAACTGACGCGCGTTCAAGAGTGTGTTCTAATTAGCGTTCGAAACTGTGACGTCATGCGGGGGAGGGACTGACGTGCTTATCCAACAAAGTAATAGAGATACGTTTTAAGATCTTGCATAATGTTTATCCTACAAATTCCCAAATTGCTAATTATTTTGATATATCTAATTTGTGTACTTTCTGCAATATACTTGAAGAGACTTTATTTCACTTATTCTATAGTTGCACTCACATTAAACATATTTGGAATGACATTATTTTTTATTTATCGTCCTTATTTAAACATGATTTAAATTTGTCTATAAAAGATATATTTCTGTATTTCTCGGATTATGATCATGATCTCGATCTTATTGTAATTTTTTTGTGTTACACTGTAAAAATTTTTATGCACAAAAATAAGTTTCTATAAACAATACCTATTTTAATACTTGTTAAAATGTCGTACAATATTGAATCTCTTAAGCTAATTAATAATAATAAGAATAATAAGTTTCTTAAAGCTTATGACAATCTTTTTTCTTTATGATTGAGGCTGTGTATTTTTTTTTCTCTCTCTTCTTTCTTATTTTTTATTATTATATTTTTTCTTTAGTTCAATGATGTTATTATTCTTATATTTAATAAAAAAATGTGCTGTTAGAACTACAAACACAGGTAGAAAGTGTTAAACTACAAATATGGCGGACGCGCGAAACCGACGGTTAGGTGGAGAGGGTTTGGCAGACATACTGTATCTGAATGCTTCTTATCCCTTGTGCACTGTTCAATCTAACCAGCCTTTTGTTATGGACGAAAACATCCACTGAATATATCTGCTGTAAAAATGCATCAGATTAATATTTTTTCAATTTTTTTGCATAAATCTGTTGATCAACCTCAGTTCTGATCAAAACGACTAAATTGTTTAGAAAATTACAGGATTTTACCCAATGACTGTAAAAAATATGGACGACGCGACAGCCCTTTTTCCCATTGAACGCCTTGAGGGCAAAACGCCTGCTTGATGGGCACAAACTGTCGCAAAAGACTGCTGAAATTGGAGCCAGACATGCGCAAAAGGACTGTCTGATGGAGCCAGAGGAGGAGCCGCGAAAATGAGCGGAGTCGAGCTTCCAATCAAACGCTTTATGTAAAATCAACTACGCCCCCCGAACTTCTCAGCATGCGTTTGCTGTCATATCAACACAAATGGATGTAATAACGTTAACAAATATGAGGGTTTTATATATTTAATCGCGCCAGCTCCAGGCCGCAACACATAACTTACTCGCGGCGTCGCGGGCTGATTCCGGCTCGCATGCGGCAGCGCCGACTCGCTCGGCCGCCGCATCTGGCTCGATTGACTCGGGCTGAAATCGGGCAGTGAGTCCAGGCATCCGCAGTAGGTCCAGCAGAGGTAACATTAGTCAGTCTGAGCTCTAAGGGGTAAGTCTCCGGCAGGCGAGAATCTAGCCGGAACTGTGTTTTGCTATCTGGGTGGTTAGGCGTGTATCAGCAAACTAATAAAGCCCGAAAAAAGCCCTGAACTTAGCGAATAAACAGTGTTCCACCAGGATCATGTATGTCAGAAACTATAGTTTACTGCTGAACTCATTTTGTCATGGTAAAATAACACAGAAATCGAATAATAACATTTCAGTCTACTTCAGTCTTCTGCCGAAGCTCAGACGCGCTGCTTTGAGAAACTGTCAATCACAGCTGTCAATCACGATGACACGCCCAGCATTAAATTACTGCTAAAAACAAACTGTTTACAAAAATGAAGATCTGCACCTATTTCAGCACAATAACCAGTGCCTTAATCCACCAGAACTATCTTTCGGGACATTTTATTGCAAGTGTAATATTTTTTTTTATTTGGGCTCAAGTCTCCTTCATTAACACGGAGGAGGCGGGCTTTATGACTTGTACTGCAGCCAGCCCCCAGGGGGCGATCTAACGGCCGAGACCTTCACTCAAACACAGGCTTGCGGCACACTTGATTTTACCTCATAAAATTTATACATGATGTCACTGATTTGGTGAAAAACGCACACAAAATGACGTATTTTCAGTATAGAGAGTAATTGTGGGCTGGATTTATTTTCTTTTATCACAGTCTTGGACATGTGAACGATAATAACAACATTGGCTTTGATGCATTATTTTTTTAGGATAGTGGATGCTGCACACTGGTGGTGGTGTGGAGAATGTTTTTGAAGAATAAACTGATGGACATTCCAGGCCATGATCCTTACAGCAAGAATGTTTGGTTTCATTCACTGTGTTCAATTGGGAAGGGCTCATCCCTATGCCCTAATCCCTTGTGGGCCGCAAGAGAGTGCTGGGGGGTCCGCGAAAAACTTGGCAGAAACAAAAAATTATTTACGAGATTTTTTTTTTTCCAATCCTAAAATTATTAATGACTATAAATTATTAATCTATATATAGTTTTATGGTTTATATCAGTGGATACTTAACTGTAATGTGTTTATCCCAAAATCCTTTGCGCTCTTTAAGATTTTGCATACAGTTGAATGGAGCAGTTAGCGGCTGTAAGTGCAGGACAGATGATGGAAAGATTTGCAAATCATGCAAATCTGACTTGGCGAGCGTCAAGGAAACCAGAAAGCATGATGAATCTTACATTGCGTTTGGTTTTACCTGCATGTTAAAGCAGGGAGTAGATAGACCCCAGTGTGTTCTTTCTCAAGAGATTGTCTCCAACGAATGCATGAAACCATCCAAGCTCAAGCGCCATCTACAGCAGAAACTTCCCAATGAGGCAGAAAAATCGACTATTAAAACATCAGGAGTTGTGTTTGACCCGGCAGGCTAGTATTTTTTTAGCAGCAAGCATCAGTCCCTGAGAGGTGTTTAAAAGCCTCATATTTGGCGTCACTCCACATCGCGCATGCTAAGAAGCCACACACAGTTGGCGAAGCATTGCTATTACCAGCTACCAAAGACATCGTCAAAGTTATGTGGAGAGGAAGCGGCACGAAAGGTAGATTGTTTGCCTTTGTCAGACAACACAGTAACCAGACGCAATGGAAATATTTCAAGAGTTCACACCTAGCTCATGATTTATATGTAGCTTGTTTGGCGTGCTGTCCCGGGAGAGAGCCCTGAGCTCAAGAGATCCTCAAGCCCAGAGCTCCCCCCTTTCGCAGGGTGAGGGGAGATTGAGCTCAGGTCGATCTTAAACTCCCCCGCTGCTGAGGCCAAGGCGAACTTCCTGAGAGTAAGACATTAGAAAAAAGATTTAGGCTTATTTGTCTATAATATAGAGCACATTTGGATGGTGGGAGGAAACCGGGGAACCCGGGAAAAACCCACTCGGACACAGAGAGAACATGCAAACTCCACACAGAAATTCCCGATGGCCTAGCGAGGAGACAATACGGTTTTCTTGCTGTGAGGCAACAGTCTAGTCACTGAGCCACCGTGCCGCCCATTCTGGATAAAGGTGGGAGGAGGGGGGTTTCTTCCAGACGAAGATAGCTGTAGAAAGGAAATGAGGATATATATATAGTGACTTGGGATCCTCTGATTGGAGGATCATGATTAGCTAATGTGGACCAGCTGGGTCAATCATGAGCACATGCTCTTCTCGAAATTAGTTTAAAATTAAACTTCACTTAGCAGTTTTCCCTAAATACAAGACAGGGAAAAAAACTTTTTATCCACCAGTGCCTTAGTTAGAAAAGCTATCTTGTTCAGTTAATGTGAACATTCGTCTTTGTTGTTGTTGTTATGAAATATAAAAAGTTTGAGAATCATTTTTGGCTATAGTGAGTTGCCAACTAATAAAATAAACAGTTTTCAAAACAATACCATTTGACATGCCTGTGAAATATGAACAATAATGTCTTTACGTTAAACAGAATTTTAGTTTACATCTTTATACTTGAAATACATATATGATGGTGTTAATTGTGATCATAATGATTGTGATGAAGGTGATGAGAATAGTTATGGTAGTGATCTTGGCGATGAGGATGGTCATGGTAGTGATGATGGTAGATGAGTAGGATGGGGATGGTTGTGTGATGATGACGGTGGTGATGGTGGTAATTTTGATGTTAATGGGGATGATAGTGAGGATGATGATGATTATGATAAAGAAGATAGTGATGATTATTGTCATGATGGTCATGATAGTGATGGTGATAATAACAACCCGGGCTCATTGTGGAAACGTAGTCCCGGGGACTTTTCTGGAGACTGCAGGTTTTGTTTTTGCGAGTCCGTGAGAGGCTGCTGTTGTGCGCTTTTTCGCGTCTCAGACGCCTCTCGCGAGTGCGGTTCGCGCCCGCGCTGTTCTTGCGTGAACCCACCAGAGGCCGCTGTCCGACTGACCGGATGATTGACTTCGCGACCGGCCAATCGGTCGACCCGCCCTCCTCCTTCCCCGAACCCAACCAATTTTACCGATCGAACCGCCCGCCCGCTCGCTTCCCTAAACCCGAGCAACAGTTCACAAAGCCGTCCAAAAAAAAATAACAGCCCTGATTTTTTTTTTTTTTTTCTACCGCGTTTTGGCATTTCACCGCGTTCTCACCCTGTTATGAAACTCGTTCACTTAATTTTTGGGATTCTGTTTTTGTCTTACCTGATTGCTGGAACTGCTCTTCCCCGGACTCGAAACCGGTCGCCGTGGTCAACTCCTCTCTGCATCTCGAGCCTGCCGACGTACACGCTGAGCTGAGTGGACAAACAAGTTGCAGCGGGGGAGCCCTCCACAAGGAGGTAAGCGGTTGGTCGGCCGGCCGGCCGGCAAGCGCGAAAGGGAACAGCGTCACACCGCCCCGCAGCATTCGCTTGAAAAAAATAAACGCGGCCGTACGTACCTCCCAGGACGTATTCCGCTGTCTCCAGAAACGTTTGTGGGACTACGTTTTCAGAATGAGCTTGGGTTGGATAATAATGAGGATGATGGTGATGTCACGTGTGTGTGTGTGTGTGTGTGTGTGTGTGTGTGTGTTGTTCAGATGTGGACGAGTGCACTCAGGATAACAGACTCTGTGAACACACCTGCACAAACCAGCCGGGGTCCTACAGCTGTCAGTGCAGCGCCGGATACACCATCACTGCAGATCTGCACAACTGCACAGGTAAAGGAGCGAGAACAATCAGCAACATCAGCCTGCAAACACCTGTAAGATGAAAAATCATCGTTTAGCTTATTGTTTTCCAGCTGTTATAATAGTGCACAGGTCATTTGAGGAGGGTTAAGCCTACTTAATCCGTCAGTCAACTTGAGTCCCCCGAAGGGTACTGGGGTCTAGAACCACCACTGGTGCACACACATTTACTGAAGTGTGTTGTATGTGTTGCAGATGTGGACGAGTGTGTGAGCAGTAACGACAGATGCGAGCAGACCTGCACTAACACAGCGGGTTCATTTCTGTGCTCGTGTCGACGCGGGTTCCAGCTGCACATCGACGGACACAGCTGTGTGGGTCAGTCTGCTTTCAGCTCACATTAAGACCAAGAGTCTGTTTTCAGTCAGAAGCCTCATTGACAGCTCTCTGAGTGTGTTTCATAGACATAGACGAGTGCAAACTGCAGAACGGAGGCTGTTCTCACGAGTGCACAAACACAGAAGGCGGACACCAGTGTCACTGCCCCTTCCCTCTGCTGCTGGACCTGCGCAACACCACCTGCGTCAGTATGTAATATATATGTGTGTGTGTGTGTGTGTTTTAAACTGCGCTTTCATTCGTTTGCAACAGCTTAAATTTGCATACATGCACGTTCTATCTGTGTCATCCGTGCATTTCCCATCTGCTGCTTTCATGCACTTTCTCTCTGCTGCATGCATGTTTGGGTCCATCTGTCACTTGCAAGGATTTGCAATCAGTCGCTTGTATACATTTGTCTTTCTTTTGCTGCTCTTAATGCATTTTTTGTCTGTCTCTTTCGTGCATTTACCCATGCATTATGTATTCCTTTTATTTATGATAATATCAAATGCATGCGTGCAATGACTAGAAATTGCGTTTATGTATTTTTTATGTTGCATCTATGAGTTTCCTATCTATTAGATCATTTCTTTATGCATTGCATGCATGCACTTCCCACTTTCTCTCTGTTGCATGCATGTTTTTTTCCCATCTGTCACTTTCGTTGATTTGCTCTCAGTTCCTCATATACGTTTTTTTTTGCATGCATCTTTTCCTTTCATGCATGTTCTGTCTATTACTTCTATGCAGTCTTGCATGCATCTGTTTCATCCATGGGTTTTTCCATCTGTTCCTTTCATATATGTTTCATGCATGCATTTCCTATCAGTTCCTTTCATGCTCTGTTGCATGAATGCATTTTTATCCATTCATATTATGCATTTTCTGTCCACTGATTTATGCCGATACTATGCATGCAACTTCATTCAACTTCCCATCTTCCATCTGTCACATGCTTTTTCCTATGCACTGCATGTATGCATTTCCCATCTGCCGCTTGCATGCATTTCCAAACTGTTCTATGCATGCATTTTACATTCTTTGATATCCTGCATGCTCCTTTAATTTAATGTTTGCATTTCCTGCATCATGTTGTAAGCCTTTGCATTTTCCAGCAGTCAGCAGTGTTTTCCATCTGTTGCTGTCATTCAGTTCTGACCATTTCGTGCATGCGTACCGTTTCTGTTCATTGCATTCATGCATTTTCTGATCCATTTAACTCATGCATGCATGTTTGTGTGTGTGCGTGTGTATCTCTCTTGGCAGACGTGACCTCGTGTGCCCTGAGGAATGGTGGATGTGATCATATATGCTCTCTGGGTGCAGAGAGTCGCATTCACTGCAGCTGCAGAGCAGGATGGGAGCTGAGCGCCGACCAAAGAACATGCATCGGTAAAGCACACAAAAGCCATTTGATTGTAGTTTATGATATAAATTAAAACACACACACACAGACTGAGTGATGTCAGGCAAAAAGCCCAATAATATCCAGCTGCAGACCCACAGAACCACACACGTTTTAGGCACACACAATCTAGGACACACAATCTAGGCAAACCATATATGGTTACGACGGATGTTAATGTTACTAACGTCTTTTTGAACATCGTCATTGTATAATCAGTTAATTGTTTATCTTGAAGACAATAAGTTGCTTAGTGATAGCCAGCATGGCTTTAGACCATTGCGCTCAACCATGTCAACATTGCTTTTATTTACTGAACATATACGTATGGCACTAAATAAAGGACATGTCACTGGAGCTGTATACATAGACTTTAGAAAGGCCTTTGATACAGTTAATCATAATATTCTTTTAAACAAATTGATCTCATTTAATCTCTCTTCTTTTGCAATAGATGTGTTTTCATCATATTTATCCAGTAGATCTCAGGTTGTTAACATTGGTACAACAATTTCCCAGGCATTAGGTTGTTCTATGGGGGTTCCTCAGGGAAGTATTTTGGGACCTTTACTTTTCCTGATGTATATCAATGACCTCCCTCAGGTCATTAAACATTCAGATTCTTTATTGTATGCAGATGACACTGTACTTTTTGTGTCTGGATCGAGTACAGACACAATTAACAATAAATTAAATACAGATCTTCAGCATTTACATGAGTGGCTGCAAGACAATCATTTGACTATTAATGTTAAGAAAACAGAGTGTATGTACTTTTATTCACCTAGGAAAAAAATATCCATATCCTATCCCCTCACTTTCTCAAATCAAAAACTTTCCATTGTATCCACATATCAATATTTGGGAATCAGTCTGGACTCTCACCTCACTTATTGTAACCATGTTCAAAATGTTTATAAAAAGCTGAAACAAAAGCTGTTTGTTTATGGCATAATTAGGACTAATTTGTCTTTTTCTGTTTCAGAAACTTATCTGCATGCCATAATCTTGTCTACCTTGTCTTCCTGTCTGCCTATTTGGTCTCTCACAACAAACGATATCTTGGAGCCAATAGCTAGACTGTACAACAGGGCCTATAAGATACACAACAGACTTTCTGGATGGACACATCACTGTTTTGCTCTATCACTTTCTAAAGCTTTAACATTTCAAAACTACATTATAAACACAGGTATCAAACTGTACTATCAAATTTTAAATAGCTCTACCTCAGCAGCCCTTTGTGCATTGGTACCAAAACTCAACACCAGGACTGATCGTTCCACCAGATCTGTAACAAATGGATGTTTGCCAGTACTGGCTTTTAAAAACTGATATGGACGGAGATCTTTCTTTTATGTATTCACAAGAGTCTGGAATGAGATCCCACAACATCTCAAAACAGTACCAACACTGAGACTTTTTAAGAAATCCCATGCTCGTCATCTGATGGTCAACTCTCGCTGTAGCCACTGAGATAGTAGCCTGCTTTTTTTCTCTATTTTATATGTTTGGTGATTGTTTGTACTGTGTTGATGGATGAGATGTTTGTCTGTTTTTATGTTCTGCAGAGCAGGAACCTGCTGAAAAACAGCATTCATGCTGAGTCAGGCCCGATTATCTTTTAATCTTTTCCTGTTTAAAAATTAAAAATAAATAAATAAATAATCGATATATTTTGATATATGTGGTTAATTAATATTGTACACAAAAAAACAATAGTGTTTACTTTATTTCACAAATATTGCAATCGAGACGGCCGAATAGGGAGCATTGTTTCCGATCGCCATTCAATATAATAGACTAAACAGTTTTTAATCAGTCATTAAAGCTGATCAGTCATTATTATCTGACAATAATATAGCAGATACTCGTTTGCTGGCCTTGCTGAATGATCTAACTTGGACAGGTTTAGTTTATAAAATGCATTAATTTTTGATGAAGGAAATAATAGCGTTAATATAGGCAATAATACATTATATGTAATAAAAATCTTTTTACATGTAACAAATGTATAACACTATATTAATATTTTACTCAAGCGATTTAATAGTGTTTATTTATTCAATTCAATTCAGCTTAATTTGTATAGCGCTTTTACAATGTAGATTGTGTCAAAGCAGCTTCACATAAATGGTCATAGTAACTGGAACAGTGTAGTTCAGTTTTTAGTGTTTAAGTTCAGTTCAGTTCAGTTTAGCTCAGTTCAGTGTGATTTAATTATTACTGAGAGTTCAAACACTGAAGAGCAAATTCATCGATGCGTAGCTCTACCAATCCTGAACCATGCGAGCCAGTGGTGACAGCGGAGAGGGAAAAAAAAAAACTTCACCTGATGGGAGTGAAAAAAAAAGACCTAATTTATTTGCTTAACTTTCTAATAATCTTTTAATTAATGATTTCCCACATTTAATACTGTAGTAATTTATAGTAAGCAATAAATTGTTTTTAAACCAAAATTTAGCCATAGGAACAAATTAACTATTAATAATAAAAAAATAATAAGTATATATATATATATATATATATATATATATATATATATATATATATATAACCGCTGTGACAGTTTGGTAAAAGATAGTAGTTTATATATAAACTTATTATAATCAGATAATCAGTTAAGATAATCAGTTTATAACTATATATATATATATATATATATATATATATATATATATATATATATATATATTGTTTAAGTGATTAACTATAGTAGGCTAATTTATTTTAAAGTGACATATTATTGTTTGCTTTTTATATTTTACAACAAAGTGATTTAAACCAAGTATGATAATATTAAGATCGATTGAATTAATTTATTACACTTAATCCAACAATTAGACAGTCTATGATTTCTTTGTGTCTGTGGACACATGAATAAAGTCATAATTGAGTTATCATATATTCTGGAATTGTCCGGCAATCCAATCTTATTGGTTAATGGTGGTCACTGAAATTGAATCAATACTGGGTTTTGAGATTGATCATAGCTTTGGTACTATATATTTAGGAAATATACAAACCGATTTTAATGCACAAGACAAATACCTTCTCAAAATACTATTAGTTGCTAGTAAAAAAAGCAATAACCAAGAAATGGTTGGAAGAGATTCCACCAACAAAGGATGAGTGGATAACAATTGTAGATAATATGTTTGAAATGGAGAAACTCACCTTTTCTTTAAGACTAAACATGGATAAATGCTATAAAAATTGGTCAAAATGGTTTATATATAAGAATATAGAAAATATACAATTTGCTAGGAAATGCTTTGCAATGAGTGCGAACCCCCCTCCTCCCCTTATTTATATTTATTTATATTTTTTATTATTTTTTTTTTTTTCAATATATGTACATATATATGTATATTATATATGTGAAATATTTTGTTTGGACCGCACATTACAGATTGTAAAAGACTGAATCATATGGACTTGAAGGAAACTATGTTGGTGTTTATGCTTATAACACAGTACCTTTTACTGACGGGTTAGGGTGGGGGCTGATGGGAGAGTAACCTGTACTATAAAAACGACTGTATAACAAGAATGTAATAATTGTATGTGATGCCTCTGGTGATCTGTTTGTTCCGTTATGTTAAAACGAATAAAAAACAAAAGTTTAAAAAAAAAAAATCATAATTGTCTTTAACCAATTATTTTTATTTACATAATTTGAGTTCAGAAACTGCAGAGATGTTAAAATGATCGTAACGATATAATAATAATAATGACTGAAATGGGAAACCATACTTGTGAAATTCAATAGGTGGCGACCATATATGGTTTGCCTAATTCGTGTGTCCTAGATTGTGTGTGCCTAAAACGTGTGTGCTGCGGGCCTGCAGCTGGATGTTTCTGAGGTGGAGCAAATTGCACTTATGACACATTTATAAAAGCTTTTATTGCAGTGCATGGGTGTGTGTTTTGTGCACATGTGTATGCATTTTTACATAAATATAATCATAATTAGAATCATCATCTTTTTTAAAACAGAAAACCTGCAGCACAGAGCATTGTTTCACTCACACACACACAATTGCATGTTATAGTGGTAGGTTTTTTGACCTCTTTGTTTCTGTCTCTCTCTCTCTCTCTCTGCAGATGTGGACGAGTGTGTGAGTGTTAATGGTGGCTGTGAGCAGGTGTGTGTGAATCATGCTGGAGGTTTTAATTGCAGCTGTCGCGCTGGCTTTGAGTTGCGCAAAGACCACCCGACAAAATGCCAACGTGAGTCACATCAGTTTACACACACATACATGCATACATACACACACGCACTAACTCATACACACATAAACATACATATACACAAACTCTCACACTCACAAACACACACACATACACACATTCTCACTCTTACACACACACACACACACACACACACACACACAAATACACAAATGTACACATCTGAGCATACCTCATTTTCCAGCGCTGTGTGACCCCGCCTGTCAGAACTCGGGCGTGTGTGTGGCTCCGAACACCTGCGACTGTCCGGCTGGATACCCTGGAGCGGGATGCTCAGGTGATCAGAACACTGTAAAACTGACTCAACATGATGTTTCTGCTTCATTTCTGAACAGATTTCTGTGTAAATATGAAACATGTTCAATAATTAGCATCGAAACAGAAGCTTTAACCTGTGTGTGTGTGTGTGTGTGTATGTGTTTTTTGTGACATATCAGAACACAAATCTGTATAATGACGTAGGTTTGACACAGGTATTACAAAAAGGAGGTGAAATATGAGGACATTGGTGACGTCCTCGTTTCTCAAAATGCTTATGAATCCTGCAGAATTAGTTTAATCAGAGAGTAAAGCTGCACACTGACTCCTGTGATGGTTGGGTTTAGGGGTGGGGTGGGGTGAGGGCAATACTATATACGGTTTGGACTGATAAAATGATGGCTGATAAAAAACCTATGTAATGTCCCCACTTTTCACAAAAACAAACATGTGTGTGTGTGTGTGTGTGTGTGTTTTATATAAAGGAAAGCAAAGAAATCGAGTTAGCCATTATTTTTTATTTTTAGTAATTTTACGTTTTAATTTGTGCTATTTATTATTATTAGTAGTAGTAGTAGTAGTAGTAGTATAATTTTTTTATTATTATTAATATATTTATTATTATTATTAATATTATTATTATTGTTATGATTATTATTATTATTATTATTATTATTATTAATATTATTATTTTATTAATTTTTATTATTATTACTATAATTATTATTTTTAATTTTTATTAATATATTTATTATTACTACTATATTTTTTATTATTTTATCAATTTTTATTATTATTAATATATTTATTATTATTATTACTATATTTATTATTATCATTATTATTATTATTATTATTATTATTTATTGTTAATATATTTATCATTATTGTTGTTATTATTATTAATATTAATTATCATTATTAGTAATTTTGTTATTATATATATATATATATGTATATATATATATTTATTATTATTATTATTTATTTTGATTATTATTATTATATTTATTATTATCATATTATATTTATTTGTTTATTTTTATAATAATCATAATTATTATTATTTATTTATTTTATTTTTATTTATATATTATATTATATTTATTTATTTATTATTAATATTATTATATTTGTTATTATTATTATATTTATTATTATTATATTTATTTATTTGTTTATTTGTTTATTTATTATTAATATTGTTATATTTATTATTATTATTATTATTATTATATTTATTTATTATTATTAATATTATTATATTTATTATTATATTTATTATTATTATTATTATTAAGGAGGCCATGGTCTTTAGCTTCCTTGTTAGAGCAAACAACTCCAATACAAAAAATAATCGCTGGTTCACTCCCTGCTCAGACCGGATTGGGTGCATTAGGACCGGTGGGTAACACATACGGGCTCGTCCGGGATGGGAGTGAGGTGGGCCATGGTCTTTAGCCTCCTTGTTAGAACAACTGACTCCCATGCACAAAATCGCTGGTTCAATCCCAGCTCAGACCGGGTTAGGTGCAGTAGGACCGGTGGGTAACATAAATATGCATATATGCATGTAAATTTGACTGTATTGTTATTTGTGTGTGTGTGTGTGTGTGTGTGTGTGTGTGTGTGTGTGTGTGTGTGTGTGTGTTTAGCCATGTGTTCTCCACCCTGCGCTCACGGAGGATCCTGCATGAGGTGGAACGTCTGTCTGTGTTCTCCAGGGTGGACAGGTGAAGGGTGTCACACAGGTAGCAACTCACCACACATCCACATGCACACACTCACTCTCCTGTACAATACACACACGTACACACAAACTCATAAATACACACGCGCACACTCACACTTCCATATGATGTTACACAGATACGCACACTCCTCCTGCATACTAACTCACATAAACACACACACATTCAAACACACACACACACACACACACACACACACACACACACACACACACACTTCTTTTCACTCACCCACACCACACATATACATACACTACTCTACATACTAACACACAAAACACACACTTCTGCATACTAACACACTAACACAAACATACACAAACACACACACTTTCTGTAACACTGACAATAATAATGGTGTGATATGTGTGTGTGTGTGTGTTAGCGGTGTGTGAGCTGCCATGTGCAAATGGTGGACGGTGTATTGCTCCAAACACCTGCCAGTGTCCATCAGATTACAGCGGCCCGCAGTGTCTCACCCGTGAGTATCTGTGTGTATGTGTGTGTTTGAGTATGTGTGTCTGTAACTATACAGAAGTGTGTGTGTGTGTGTGTCTGTCTGTAAGTACACTGGTGTGTGTTGTGTATGTGTTTTTAAGTGTGTATGCGTGTATTTGTCTATTCGTGTGTGTGTGTGTGTGTGTGTGTGTGTGTGTGTGTGTGTGTGTGCCCATGTGTGTGTGTGTGTTTGCAGCTCAGTGTTCTCCTCCTTGTGTCAATGGTGGGAGGTGTGTGGCCATCAACACCTGCAGCTGCCTAGATGGATGGAGAGGAGCTCGCTGTCAGATAGGTCAACACAAACACACATACAAACACACACACGCAGACACAGACAAACACTGTAACACACACACATCTTCAGATTTGTACAGTTTTGTCCTCAAAGTAACTAGTGAATATCATGTGTGTGTGTGTGTGTGTGTGTGTGTGTGTGTGTGTGTGTGTGTGTGTGTGCGTGCGTGCGTGCGCGCGTGTGTGTGTGTGTGTGTGTGTTTTCCTCCTCAGAGCCCGTCAGGTGTGTTCCAGCATGTAATAATGGTGGTGTGTGTGTGGGGCTCAACAGATGTCAGTGTGTGGAGGGATACACTGGAAAACACTGTGAGACAGGCAAGTGACACCATTGCCCGATATAGTGACATCATACATAATAAGATCGCTCACTGTAGCATCATCACCTATTAAAATGACATCATACACTCACTGGCCAATTTATTAGGTACACCTGTCCATCTGCTTGTTAATGCAAATTTCTAATCAGCCAATCACGTTGCAGCAACTCAATGCATTTGGGCATGTAGACATGGTTAAGACAATCTGCTGCAGTGTGAAGCGAGCATCAGAATGGGGAAGAAAGGGGATTTAAGTGACTGTGAACGTGGCATGGTTGTTGCTGCCAGATGGGCTGCTCTGAGTATTTCAGAAACTGCTGATCTACTGGGATTTTCATGCACAACCATCTCTAGGGTTTACAGAGAATGCTCCAACAAAGAGGAAATATCCAGTGAGCGGCAGTTCTGTGGGCGCAAATGCCTTGTTGATGCCAGAGGTCAGAGGAGAATGGCCAGACTGGTTCCAGCTGATAGAAAGGCAACAGTAACTCAAATAAGCACTCGCTACAACCGAGCTCTGCAGAAGAGCATCTCTGAACACACAACACGTCCAACCTTGAGGCGGATGGGCTACAGCAGCAGAAGAGCACACCGGGTGCCGCTCCTGTCAGCTAAGAACAGGAAACTGAGGCTACAATTCACACAGACTCACCAAAACTGGACAATAGAAGATTGGAGAAACGTTGCCTGCTCTGATGAGTCTCCATTTCTGCTGACACATTCAGATGCTCGGCTCAGAATTTGTCATCAACAACATGAAAGCATGGATCATCCTGCCTTGTGTCAGCGGTTCAGGCTGGTGGTGGTGGTGTAATGGTGTGGGGGAGATTTTCTTTGGGTCCATTAGTACCAATTGAGCATCAACGCCACAGCCTACCTGAGTATTGTTGCTGACCATGTCCATCCCTTTATGAGCACAGTGTCTCCATCTTCTGATGGCTACTTCCAGCAGGATAACACACCATGTCATAAATCGTGAATCATCTCAGACTGGTTTCTTGAACATGACAATGAGTTCACTGTACTCAAATGGCCTCCACAGCCACCAGAGCTCAATCCAATAGAGCAGCTTTGGGATGTGGTGGAACGGGAGATTGGCGTCATGTGCAAATCTGCAGCAACTGCGTGATGCTATCATGTAAATATGGAGCATAATCTTGTTGAATCTATGCCACAAAGGATTAAGGCAGTTCTGAAGGCAAAAGCACTTGTAAGATGTACCTAATAAAGTGGCCGGTGAGTATGTTTATGATGAGGTCATCCTCTGTGATGTTAGGACCCAGCTATGAGATGTACTCATAAAACACAAAAACCCTATTTGTGTGCGTTTGCGTGTGTGTGATTGTGTTATATACAGTCTGTAAACTAAGTGTATGAACTCTGTTTGTGTGTGTGTGTGTGTGTGTGTGTGTTTGTGTGTGTGCGCAGCGCTGGTGACGCCGTGTGTTCCTCCTTGTCAGCACGGAGCAGTCTGCGCTCCTCTGAACAGCTGTGTTTGCCCGAAGGGGACCAGCGGCATCCGCTGTGAGAAACTGTAAGACCGTGAACACAAACAGGCACACACATACGCATGCACGTACAGATAACACACACCGTGCTCTTGTGTTTCAGTGTGTGTCCTGTGGTCTGTACAGTGGTCAGCATGGCCCGCGCCGTCAGAAAAGGCTTTCGGGAGAGTTACGTAGATCGCTGTGGACCGCTGGGTGTCCAGCTCTGCACTAAATACAGGTCAAACACACACACACACACACACACACACATATATACTCATACACACACACACATTCTCACACAGGCACACGCTCTCAAACATACACACACTCACACACAGTGTTTACTAAGCAGCACCAAACGCACCTGGACAGAGGAACACACACACACACACACACACACACACACACACACACACACACACACACACACACACACACACACACACACACACATACAGAAACACACACACACATACATTCATACGTACAAACACCTAGACACATACTTACACACACATACACATGCAGTACACTCACACACACACACACACACATACTCTCACACAAACATTAACAACACAGCCTTTTTATCTCATAATTTCATTTTTTTAAATCATGGTTGTATCTCAATCATCACTCTTTTGACTTTTTAAGTCATATTTTCAACGATTTGTCTTGGAATTAAAATTTTTAAATCATAATTTTTATTTAGTTTTGCATAATTTTGACTTTATATCTCAGAATGTTGACTTTTTAAATAAATTTTAACATATTAAGTGATAATTTCAACTTTTATGTCATAATTTTGGCTTTTTATGTCATAATTTCTGCTTTTTATATCGAATTTTGACTTTTTAGGTAGATTTTAGCATATTAAGTGATAATTTCGACTTTTATGTTATAATTTTGACTTTTTATGTCACAATTCACATTTTATGTCATAATTTCGGCTTTTTATATCAGAATTTTGACTTTTTTAGTAAATTCCAACATAATAAGTGATCATTTTGACCTTTTATGTCATTATTTCGGCATTTTATGCCATAATTTCGGCTTTTATGTTATTATTTTGACCTTTTATGTCACAATTTAGATTTTATATCATAGTTTCGGCTTTTTATATAAGAATTTTGACTTTTTTAGTAAATTCCAACATAATAAGTGATCATTTTGACCTTTTATGTCATTATTTCGGCATTTTATGCCATAATTTTGACCTTTTATGTCATAATTTCTGCTTTTTATATCAGAATTTTGACTTTTTAGGTAAATTTTAGCATATTAAGTGAAAATTTTGACTTTTATGTTATAATTTTTACTTTTTATGTCACAATTTACATTTTATGTCGTAGTTTCGGCTTTTTATTTAAGAATTTTGACTTTTTTAGTAAATTCCAACATAAGTCATAATTTTGACTTTTTATATCATAATTTCAACTTAGTAAGTCATAAATTTTATGTTTTAAGCCTCTTTTTTCAAGAATATTAGTGTCATAATTTCAACTTTTATAATCTCTACATTTAAGGCCTGATTTCTTTCCTTACCCGTCTGGATTGTGCTTCCACAGTATTCTTTGTGAATATATATTTTACACATGATTTATTCCTGTGTTAAAGCTGAATTGCGAGCATCATTTCAGCAGCTGATGTGATGTTTCCTCTGATTTGCTCTTTTGTGTGTGCAGGATCAACCAGGCGCGTGTGTATCTGCAGGCGTACAGAGTCGGATACAAGATCCAGTGTCCTGACAAAAACACAAGATAAAACACACAGTCACACTTTTAACAGTGGCTTTGCTGCTGTTTTCATGAGGAATATATAAATCTCTCAGTGCTGAACTGATCACACTTCAAAACCCTCAGTCATGACACAGGGGGGGTACAGAAAGTATTCAGACCCCCTTAAATTATTCACTGTGTGTGTGTGTGTGTGTTTTAATGCAGCCGTTAGATAAAATCATTCAAGTTGATTTTTTCCACATGACTGTCCACACAGCAGCCCATATTGACAGAAGAACAAACTGTGGACATTTCTGCAGATTTATTTTAAAAAGAAAAACTGAAACATCACATGGTCCTCAGTATTTACACCCTTTGCTCAGTGTTTAGTAGAAGCTCATTTTGATCTAATGGCCCGTTTCCACTGAGTGGTACAGCACGGGTTGGTACGGGTCACCTGTATCAGGCTTTCCTTTTTACTGCTAAAAGGGTACCAATAATACACTTTTGGTGGGCGTTGTGTACGACAGAAAGTTTCAGTCGTCATCATTCTCGCTGGGTAATAGCCTCCTGTAACGTATGCAATTATATAAAATAAATGAACATATATGAACACACACAGACCCTTACAGTCCCTGATTTGATACCAATTACAGAAAAACTACACACAGCAGACATTTAGTCCTTATTTGGGTTCAAAAACACATGCAATATACAGTCAGCGCAAACCTCTCATCTGTGTCTGTAATCTTCAGCAGCACATGTAGCCTCTGTTATAGAGTAACTCCGTCATTCTGAGTTCATAATAGTAAAAAAGGTGATAATAATAGTTAAACATGGCGGTTTGATCGTGTTTTAGGTTGCTGAAAGAGTCATTCGCTGCTTTGTTTTTGGCGCTTCACTTTTGCGTTTGTCCATTTCTGAAAGGATTGGATGTCAGAAGCACTTCAGTAATCACGTGCACGTTATTATCATCAGCTCAAGAATTTCGTTATTTCAAATATAGACGCGCGATCGCGAGCTCACTGGAGAAAGTGGAACCACTCGCACTTTTAGAAGACCTCGTGAAACAACAACAGGACAAACGGCAGATTTAGTTTTTCTTGGCTTTGTGGCTGTTCATCAAGACAACGACAAGGTTTGTTTAAGCTCGGGTCGACCATGGCTTGTTATTATATTCATTCATTCATTTTCTTGTCGGCTTAGTCCCTTTATTAATCCGGGGTCGCCACAGCAGAATGAACCGGCAACTTATCCAACACGTTTTTACGCAGCGGATGCCCTTCCAGCCGCAACCCATCTCTGGGAAACATCCACACACACTCATTCACACACACACTCATACACTACGGACAATTTAGCTTACCCAATTCACCTGTACCGCATGTCTATGGACTGTGGGGGAAACCGGAGCACCCAGAGGAAACCCACGCAAATGCAGGGAGAACATGCAAACTCCACACAGAAACACCAACTGAGCTGAGGCTCGACCCAGCGACCTTCATGCTGTGAGGCGACAGCACTACCTACTGCGCCACTGTGTCGCCTTGTTATTATATGTATATATGATTATGGTGTAATGTCTCGGCTGTGTATTTAAAAATGCCACTTCCTTTGTTTTCATACTCCTGCTTGTTGCAGAAAGCGAGTGACGAATATTTGTAAACCAATAGCATTCAGCTGCACGTCTAGCTCCGTCTTTGGTACCCTTTTAGCTGTGCTAGGCACCCTTTGCAAAGAGTGACCAAAAAGTGGTATGGTACAGTTCGCTTTTGCAGTGGAAACGGTCATAAAAGTGAACCGAACCGTACCACTCAGTGGAAACGGGCCACAAAACAGCCATGAGTCTGTTTGGGAAAGACACAGCAAGTTTTTCACACTTGGATTTGGGGATCCTCTGCCATTCCTCCTTGCAGATCCTCTCCAGTTCTGTCAGGTTGCATGGCAAACGTTGGTGGACAGCCATTTTAGGTCTCTCCAGAGATGCTCAACTGGGTTTAAGTCAGGGCTCTGTCTGGGCCATTCAACAGTCACAGAGTTGTTGTGAAGCCACTCCTTGGTTATTTTACCAGTGTGCCAAGGGTCATTGTCTTGTTGGAAGGTAAACCTTCAGCCCAGTCTGAGGTCCTGTGCACTCTGTAGAAGGTTTTCCTCTGCAGGTGGCCAAATTCATCTTCCCTCAATTGCAGCTAGTCGTCCTGTCCCTTCAGCTGAACAACACCCCAACTGCATGATGCTGCCTCCACCATGCTTCACTGTTGGGACTGTATTGGACAGGTGATGAGCAGTGCCTGCTTTTCCCCACACATAGAATTAAAACCAGAAAGTTTAATCTTGGTCTCATCAGATCAGAGAATCTTATTTCTCACCATCTTGGAGTCCTGTTTTTAGCAAACTCCATGCAGGCTTGTATGTGTCGGGCCACTCTGCCAGAAAGCCCCGACTGGTGGAGGGCTGCAGTGATGGTTGACTTTCTACAGCTTTCTCTCGACTGCATCTCTGGAGCTCAGCCGCAGCGATCTTCGGGCTCTTCTTTATCTCTCTCACCAACTCCCTTCTCCTCTGATAGCGCAGGATTATGGAGGCCACTGTGCTCTTCAGTACAGCAGACATGTTCTGTAACCTTGGCCAGATCTGTGCCTCTTTCTCTGAGCTCTTCAGGCAGTTCCTTTGACCTCACGATTGTCATTTGCTCTGACTTGCATTGTGAGCTGTAAGCTCTTGTGTAGACAGCTGTGTGACTTTTAATGATCTGTTGTGATATGAGTAATAAGAGTTTTAGAAATGTTTTGCTTGTGAAAACTGCGCCAAAGTAATTAAAAACAACTGTAATACGGAGCCAAACACAACACAGACAGGTTTGTTTTGTATATCGGCACATCATGTACATTATGCATGTGTGGTTTAAGTATTAAAGACATGTTTTATGTTTTAAATCATTGTGGTGGTCCTCTTTAAACTTGTGTGCAAATGTTTAACCCCTTTGTGCTGTTCAGATTGACTCCCCTTTGATTATGTTTAGGGGTGTCAAAATTAATTGTTTCTTCGGTGCACCGTGATGCAGACGCGGACAATTCGGTATCGGTTCAGTAATAATCATAACCGGTTATTACTGACGTCATTTACCTCATATGCGCTCTGTCGCGAGGGAGGTGAGCGCAGGTATTTACAACACTCAGCCAATGCAGGGCCGGCCCGTGGCATAGGCAGTATAGGCAAATGCTAAGGCTGCTGTATATCCAGGGGGCGCCAGAAATGAGCGCGGTTCAGTTGGTTTTGTTTTCGATATTCCAGACAAACATTTAGTGTTAGACGGCATTAACTCAAAAACCTCTTACCCTAAAAAGATCTAAAGTGTGTTTCCTACAAAAAGACAAAGCTGGTTATGTTTCACAGCTGTCTTTCTTTTTTTTTTTCACTCAACATTACAAGCACTGCTCCGTTTAAGCCCTCGCAATATGTGTTTAGCCGGGAGAGCTCGCGCTGAGAGGAGCTCTCAGTAAGGGACCGTCGGAAAAGTGCTTATTTTTTTCGTTGTTTTTTTTTTCTCGTTTTTCTGCTTCGCTCAGCGCGAGCTCTCCCTGTAGCAAGGGCTTAAGTGTGTGTGTGTGTGTGTTTGGTGCTGTCTATGTTTGTGTTTGAATGAGAGACAGTGTGGTGTTGTGTGTCTGTGTGTTTATACAGACAGCTTGTTATAGCCTCCCCCCTAAAGTATAACTCTAGCTGCGTCCCAAATCGCATACTTATGCACTATTCTACGCCATTTTGTAGTGCGTTCACACTGAAAACTCTAATAATAATAAGTGCACTTTAATTACCCGGATGATGCAGCCGGTAAAGAGAAGTGTGTAATGACGGACACTTCACGCACTCAACGACCACAGGTTTGCTTACGTAGCGGAAGGGGTGGAGCTATCAGGCGCACATGTTGGATAACTTTATTTATTTTGGATGGTGAAAGCAAAATTCTCCTGCGAGAGTGATTATAGCGCCTCCCGATGGTGAATGCGGCAATACTCACGGCAGGTATTATTTGATAATTCGGTCGTTTATTTCACTGATTTGGCAACCGTCAAACGTCATCAGGGAAACGGTTTGAATTTCCGCTTAGTAAAAAAACATGAGTCTGCCATTTGGGACGACACTACATACATATACTATCCTGTTGAGTGTGTAAGTACATAGTGCATGAGTGCATAGTGTGCCATTTGGGACGCAGCTACTGTATATGGAAAGCATCGTCAATGCACCGAGATATCGAATTGAACCGAATCAAAGGCATGATAATCGTAACCAAACCGAACCGAACCGTGAGACCAGTATAGGTTCACACCTCTAATTATGTTGCTGCTGTTTTTGCCGCATTGACTCCCATTATAATCTCACTCATTGACTGTAAAGCAATGGCAGCATATAATCATGCATTCTTGATTGTTGCTGGTTTTCCCCGTTCGGTAGAGGGACAATTTGTCATTATTAATGTTGATCATCAGTTGTCAGTATTCACCCTTTAGATAGGCCTGTGCTAAAGAGTTGCTGTCTTTTATATGGAGTAAAACAGCGAACATAAGTGCACTTGCTGTGTTCTGAGAGCTGAGCTGCTTGTTTTACTTGTTCTCCATTTCCACCTGAGGATTCTCATCCCCTATTGATGTGATCCAAGAACTGTGAAGAAACGATGCCAACTATAGAGGATTTCTCGAGGTCTCCATAATCCTGGACCAGGCCGTGTCCTGAGCAGATGCTGTGGTGGTCATGGAGGAGTGGAGAGCGTGAGACTGATTCCTGAAAGACCCCCAGTGACAGACGAGTCTCTGCATTGATCTTGTGGGCCAGCCTGAACACCCGCTAGTGACCTGCAGCTTTTCCACTATGGACATCCAGCATTCTCCAGCGCCTAGACTGCAGCTCTGCGCAAGAAGTTTGGCCAGAGGAGACATGGTCGTGTCCAACTGAGCCTGGTTTCTCTCGAGGTTTTTTTCTCTTTGCTTTGGTTAATTGGTGAAGTTTGGTTTTCCTGTCGCCAGTCTTGCTCGGTTCGGGACTTGTGGTGCTGCGCATCAAGGTATTGCTCAGTGTTTGGACTCTCAGTAGTGAATATTAAACCACACTGAACTGAACATCAACTCTGAAAACTGGACCGACACAGCTTCAGTTTACTAGAACGTCTGTATTTAGCTGCTTTGACACAATCTACATTGTAAAAGTGCTAGAGAAATAAAGATGAATTGAATTATTTAGATTTTCTCAGACAAACTGTCCCTCTTTCCAACAGGGAAAACCAGCAACAATCAAACATGCATGATTATATGCTGTCAATGCTTTGCGGTCTTAAAATGTGCTTATAAGGGAAGTCCAGCCCAGCAATCCGACGTTTTTGGAGACCGCGAATTACGTAGGCGGAGGTACATATGTGTAACGGCGGGGAGTGATGACACACACAACTGGGGTAAGATCCAATATGCAGGATTATTTGTAATCAGGCAAGCAGAGGTCAATACAGGTGCAAACGGGTATGTACAGGCAGTCTGGAATCGTAGTCATCAAACAGGCTATAGGTCGTAAGGCAGGCGGCTAAACAGGGATAAACAAGGCTGGGTCGAAACACGACAGGGAAAAGGCGTTGTAATGTCATCTACTGATCAACAAGACTCGGCAAACTGAAACCGTGAATGTGTGGCTTATGTAGTGAATAGGCTCGTTTGACTTGGCCAAAATCTGCGCAGAATCGATCACCGGTGATCGCCGCAAGATGCATGCCGGTTAGAAATGTGTCCGCCTTGCCTTCGCCTCGCTCTGATTTTACGCTGACGTGCGCCAAAAAACTCTCGCGATCGCGAGGCGGGTACCTCAGATAGAGCAGTCGGCCGCAGTTACTCTCAAAAGACTGCGTTACCAAAAGCATGATAGGAAACGACTGGCTGACGACACAGCTTAATGCTGATTGGATGAGACTGACACATTACACTTTATTATCTTGTTTTACTAAGGTTTATACCTGGATTTGTTGAATACCTTTTTTGTATTTTCGTTGATAATTAAAAAAAAAAGTCATAAAGAGCATTACATATGGTTATTTATTTAGATTTACACGCAGACAACAACAAAACACATCTTTGTAAAACATAACGTGACCTATCCAATATAACTAAATGTTACTTATAAATTATTAGGATGTGTGTGTGCTGTATTTTATTTCTCTCTCAGTTTTAAGTCCTGTTTGTTGTCATTTTCACTTTTTGTATGTTTGTGTGAATTTTGTATTGTAATTTTTATGCAGCGTTATTCCATTAAATTCAATCCAATATATACATATATTCAGACATACAAAGGTTATCAGACTGTTTTGTCATTATGCCTCATCTTTGTGTGGTTTCATATGAGAAGTGAAAAGGGTGTAGTAAACAGGACACACACACATATGTATATGCATATGTATGTGAAGTCAAAAGTCATGTTTAATAGACCAAGAACATTTCCACAGTTTTTCCTGCAGTCTAATAGTTTTTATTCTGGAGAAAGTCTTGGGCTGTTTATTTTAGTCTGGCTGGAGTAAAAGCAGTTTATATATACCCAATAAGCATGTCAATATCATTAACCCCCTAAGAATTTATTTGTCAAACAAATATTTGTCATGACCCGTCACTCAAAAGCATGCTATGGCTACCTCATTTATAATGTAGCCAAATTAGGTTTCTTGAAAGCTTTCTTGCTGTATAAGCTGTTTATTTTGTTATTCTTTTAACGTTTGTTGAATATACAGAATTATATTTTTAATACACCCTTTTAGTTAATGAGCTGTTCATCTTCTGTAATTCTGAACATTTTTTTTGTAAAAACTGCGATATTTCTATTGCATCCACTCCCACATTAAAAATACTATAGTAATGTATACTGTAGTGCTTTTGAACCATGTTATAAAATAGCCTATTTAAATTTTATAGTTGCTCTGGTATCACAACAATTATAAACACAACCCAATACTGAAAAAACATGTTCAAAATGCAATAATATTTACTATAAATCACCATAGTATTTTTTCATGAAGGTCATTCGTCTGCGATAAAAAAACGCGAACGAGATCTCCGCCACTGGTGACGATTCCAGGTGGGTAAACAGCGAGATTCAGCAGGTGTCCGACTTCTGATGTAATTTTTGAGCCCTCCTCTTACTGCGCACGCCTGCTCTCGTTTACAATGCAGCCAAGGCGAGGCGCACCTCAAACGAGCCTAATGCAATCAGTCTCTGATAGTCATCAGGTGTTGCGAGTGTGTGTGGGTGTCTGGGCGAAGTGCATGTCTGAATATGTAGTCCAGGAAAAGGCGGAAGTGTAGTCCATGGTTATTGTGCGATCTATGGAGAACGATCGCTGGTTATCGTGACAGTATGCTTGCTATTTCATTTTTTTACACTAATGCAACTGACCGCTTTCCTGCTTGTGGAGGGCTTTTTCTGGACGGCTTTTGTCGACTGGGTTTAGGGAAGTAAGCGGGTGGGCGTGTCAATCGGTAAAATTGGTTGGGTTTAGGGAAGGAGGAGGGTGGGTTATTCGATTGGTCGGCCGCCCAGTCAATTCAGTCAGTCAGTCAGTCGGTCGACAGCGGCCTCTGGTGGGTTTATGCGAGAACAGCATGGGCGCGAACGGCACTCGCCAGAGACGTCTGAGATGCGAAAAAGCGAACACAGCGGCCTCTCGCGGATTCGTGAAAACAAAAACTGCAAACCTCCCATATTTCGTCAGTCTGCTCAGTGTATTCATTCAATTATAAATTTTCTTGTTAGCTTAGTTCCTTTATTAATCCGACATTGCCACAGCAGAATGAACCGCCAACTTATCCAGCAAGCGGATGCCCTACCAGCTGCAACCCATCTCTGGGAAACATCCACACTTACATTCACACACACACTCATACACTACGGACAATTTAGCCTACCCAATTCACCTGTACCGCATGTCTTTGGACTGTGGGGGAAACCGGAGCACCTGGAGGAAACCCATGCGAACGCAGGGAGAACATGCAAACTCCAAACAGAGACGCCAACTGAGCCGAGGTTCAACCCAGCGACCTTCTTGCTCTGAGGCGACAGCACTACCTACTGCGCCACTGCCTCGCCACAGTGTATCGGTGAGTTTTTAAAAACTTTCAAAGCATTTTCTCAAAATATCTATCAAATTAAGATTCGTCACCAAGAGTCATCCCATTTGCTGAAACAGAGAAAGCTGAGACCAAATTAACACTTCAAATCAGTCCAGAGTGGATGAAAACGACCCAACAGCATGCAATGTTTAACTGAGTGTGGAGATGAAAACAGCGTGACTGTGCAGAAAAGCGCTGACAGAGGCGTTCAGGCTGTGCTTTAAGTTAACACAGACATATATTAAACCATCTGAGACGAGGATCGAGAGAAGAAGACATGAAGAAAACAACCACAGACACGCCAGCCAAGGTAAAATATATGCTAAATGATCATTTACAAACGTGTTTTGTGCTGTTCTGGTTTTTATCAGAATAACAACATGTTTAAGGGATATTTCAGCTATAAATGGATGAATATGTTATTAACTAAACTAAAATCAAGTGGCATGGTGGCTCAGTGGTTAGCACTGTGGCCTCACAGCAAGAAGGTCGCTGGTTCGAGTCCCAGCTGGGTCAGTTGGCGTTTCTATGTGGAGTTTGCATGTTCTCTCCATGTAGGTGTGGGTTTTCTTCCGGGTGCTCTGGTTTCAGTCCAAGCACATGCGCTATAGCGGAACTGATGAGCTAAATTGCCCGGTGTGTATGTGTTTGTGAATGAGTGTGTATGGGTGTTTCCCATTACTGGGTTGCGGCTGGAAGGGCATCTGCTGTGTCAAACTTGCTGGAATAGATGGCGGTTCATTCTGCAGTGGCGACCCCTGATAAATAAAGGATTAAGCTGAAGAGAATGAACAAATCTAAAATGCTCTGTTAAAACCCTAGTAGCAAAGTATTCTGGCCCAGATTTGGCAAAAAGCTGGCACAGCAGGCATTCATCCGGCACTGGCATACAGCATGTGGGCCAAACATGGCCCGGGTTTGGCAGAGGCGGCACCGTTTTTAAGGCGGCACACAAGATTTGGGCCAGATGAAAAACATAGTATTTGGCCCAGATTTAAAAATTTGATAAGTGGGCCATGTGAGTTTGGCCAGTCTTGACCCACATTTAAAATACACTAAAATCATTCTTGAGTAAAGAAAAAAAATTCTACCAATCAGGTCACTTTGAGAAAAAGCGTGCCCATAGTGTGCCTAAAGCGCATCACTCCATGGGTTTATCAATTTCATTGCAATTGTGACACACCAACCTATCTGGCCCAGTTCAGGCCCAGTTATGAGTTATTAACTTGGCTGAGACTTGGCCCAGATATGGTCTGTGTTTGGCCCTTGTCTGGAAGCCAGATTTGGTCCAGGCATGTACCGTAATTCACTGCGGCATGTGGGCCAGGCAAAACCTGATTGTGTGGGCCAGAGCTGGGCCAGAGAAATTTTGCTATGTGGGAATAGTTGGGTTGAAAATACCCCAACATATAACCCAACTAAAGGTTATTATAGCACCTTCCTAACTATGGGGTATTTTAACCCAATGCATAGGGTTATTTTGATTAGATGTTATTTTTTTCCATTCTGGTAGTACTTTATAGTATTAATTTTATAACTATGATTGTGTAAATAAATAAATGTCTCCGCTGGGTCCTAAAGATAGCAATGCAGACGGATATTTCAAATATGTGTATCATTTCCTCCCCTAAAAAAAACAAACAAACAAGAGAAAGTGCTTTATTCATTTAATATAGATCGGCTATAGCCCCTTTCACACATACAGACCTTTCCGGAAAATTACCGGCAATTTTCCGGAAAGGTCTGTATGTGTGAACAGGTCCTTTCTGAAAATACCGGTAAATTCGTTCTGGCTATTTTCCGGAAAGAGAAGTTGTAACATTACCGGTAATTTGCCGGAATGCTGCACTGTGTGAACGCAGAAGGAAGATTACCGGAAAGAGCGCGCCCACGTCTAGAACTTGCTGACGTGAGACGTCTACTTTAGCCAATCAGAACAGTCAGACGCATTTACGTCCGCGCGGTTTATGAGAATAAAAGCCTTAAAATATTTTCCCAGACACATTTAGCTGCTAGAAGTTAGTCAGATAACGTTTAAATGTTCATCTTAATGCCAACTGTGTAAATAATCATAGATAAGATGCATATGATAAGCCGCTGTTTGTTTACCTTCAAGCTTTGCGTGTGCCTGTGAAACAGCCTGTGAGCGCCAGCACACGCACATATTATGAACATCTCGACATGCGAAAGTGTTTCTCTATGTTTTCATCGAAGTTATTCACAATATTGATCATCCACAGAGTCTGTAATGTAGTCAAATGTTTACAAACACAAGCGCAGCCGTTTAGAACTCATTTGTGGTGAATGATGTCAGAATTTACCGGTATTTTGGAGTGGATGTGTGAATGCTCTTTTCTGGAAAAATTCCGTAACGTCCTCGCCTGTGTGAACAGCACTTTTTTTAATTTACCGGTAAAGTCGTTTCAGAAATTTTCCATATATTTACCGGTATCACTGTGTGAAAGGGGCTTATGACGTGCGCATTTGTTCAATCAATAAAGAGTGCTGGAGAAACGGATATAAAAACACGACACGAAGAGGTCATTTGATAAAAAAGGACATTGCTGATGTCCTCATTTCTCCAAAAGCTTATAAATCACACATGATGAGTTCATTTCAGAGAGCAAAGCTGCACACAGTCTTCTGTGATGGTTGGGTTTAGGGGTAGGATGCGGTGAGGCCACAGCCATATCACCTTGCAGCCCAAAAGCAGTTACTCAATAAAGCTAAGCAGCTAAGAGCCAGGTCAGTACCTGGATGGAAGATCCAGGGAACACTAGGTTGCTGGAAGTGGTGTTAGAGACGCCAGCAGGGGGAGTTCAACCTGCGGTCTGTGTGAAGGGGACACTACACTGTCCGTAAGCGCTGTCTTTTGGATGAGACATTTAACCAAGGTCTTGACTCACTGTGGTCATTAATGATCCCATGGCATTTCTGGTAAAGAGCAGGAGTGTAACCCCGATGTCCTGGTCAAATTCTCTCAACATGGCCAGGCCTGGATTGGCTAATCGGGAGGACCGGGAGAATTCCCGGTGGGCCGGTCCGTTTTTTGGCCGTGAGGGTTGGTGTCCCTAGCTCTAGATTCTGTTGCTCTCAGCAGTCACACTTTTTAAATTAATGTATTTATTTACTTGACCACAGCCTTCTTATTCATTATTTTACAGCAGCTCTGCTCTTTTTATCTATTTTCTCGCAGCCTTGTGAGCACGATGCAGCCTGCAGTTGATGATGATATAAATCAGATTAGAATCAGATCAGAGTCACCTCTCCACGTACAGCTGTTGTGGTCCAGTGGTTAACATGTTAGGTTACGACCCCACCAACCCAGGTTTGATCCTCGTTTGAGTTACTTATTTTTTTCATTTTTATTGTTAAAAGGGTCACGAAACACCAAAACACATGTTTTGAGCTGTTGACAGTGGTATATGTGTCCCACACTTCTAAAAACACTATTAGGACACCTATATTTCACTAAAAAGTGTAAATTGGTTGTTTTTGCGTTATTTCAAGCAAATTCGTACTTCCTGTTTGAAACTAATTTTTGAAGCTGCGTCACGGTCATGACATAATAGCGTGTATTCCAGCGTGCAGACTAGACGTCTGTGCCAGAGTGTGTCTTATTACGTCTTACAGTGTGATGCATTAATGCATGAGTAAAGCTTGGTTCAAACCAATCAGCGCGCTCTATTGTGCAACTTCATTAATATTTATTAGTGTCACCGTGTTTGCACCACAGAGACGCCACGTTGTGTTGGCAAAACAAGCGTGAAGTGTTGCTTTTATAGTTTGCTGCCATTAAGTTTCGTTTTCATTTTCATCTGGATCACGTGTGGATTAACAGTGTACGCGACGCTCGACAACAATAACTTACGTGTCTAAGGAGGATTATTGTTTACCTGAGAGCTGTTCTCATCTGCAAACGCTGAGATCCGGATTGGCTTGTAGTATTCTCTCCATAAAGACGCGGCTCTAGTTGCTGGTGATTGTTCTGTCTCTACAGATTTGGTAAGTGAGTGACCAGTGCTCTTTGTTTAATCAGTTTGTTCGTATCGAATTAAGTTAACTATTGCACTGAGTGCAAACATGTTAGCACCGCATTTTGTGACCGGAATAACACGCGCAGCTTTCTGAGGCTACCTGCCGTGTGCATCTAAGTTTCCGGGAAATGCGGCGGGTTTTTTTCTCTCATTCGCCGTGCGGTATCAAACATTGCATGATAAATACACGCTTAGAGCAGATCCTCGAATCAAATATCTCGTTTGTCGCGAGGGAGATGAATGAATTCCCTGAATGAAAGAGCCAAACTGCTGTTAAAGTCCACCATTTAATCATTTGGCAAATAATTCGACTACAGATGTCCATGTAGGTTAAACACCATCACTTTCTCATGTGTGTGTATTTTGACTGAAACTCAGCGCGTTCCCAAATAGACACTCCCACACCCTCCCACTTTAGTTCCTCCGACACTCCCCCCTAAACAAAGCTGGACACGCCCACTTTTCTGACTTTTTCCAAAGTAGAGGTGTGAAAACACCCTGCTGAAACGAGGGGGTTTCATGGCCCTTTAAGACCTATAATACTGTTAGGCTTGTTGAACATTTGAAGTGCTAAAGCAGCTGTTTTCTCAAAAAACAGACGTGATATTTAATTAGAAACTGAATTGGAAATGACCTTATTTTAATATAGTCAGTGGTGAACTGAGGTGGGCCGGTCTGAGGCTTGAAACTCCATGGTTGAAAAGAAGTCCCACTCCAGCCCTGATCATGGCCTCCCAATGTTGGGGAATTCATTGTGTCTTGATGAATTTCTGATGAATGTATTACTCTCATTTATTTGCTTATTTGAGTGATTTCCGTAATATTATTATTATCTATTGTATTATTACCCGTACCTGCGGCATTATTATCAGGTATGTGTGCTTTGGTTAATGAAAAAGTCATTCTGTGTAAATGCAGAGATGAGAAGATAAATTAACGAGCAGCAATACTGTCACAATGAGGGTTGATTTAGGGAAGCAAGGCCATTAGGACACTTGTGTTCTGTTCTGTAACTCATGATAAGGCACACCTGCACATGCACCCACACTCACTTGTACTGACATCTAAAGAATTATGAGTACCTATAAACTTCAGCTGATCTTACAGTTGACAGCTCAGTAAACAAGATATATTCTTGAGCATTGTTTTTTGGCCGAGTCATCGCTTTTGAAGCGGGAAGGAAAGACCTGGACATGGGTAAGACCACTGAAAGACCCTGAGATTCTACTGGTGGCGGGCACCTGAGAGATTTAAGATCCCATTAGCGGAGAAGCTGATGGAGGAGTGTAATCTATCTATCTATCTATCTATCTATCTATCTATCTATCTATCTATCTATCTATCTATCTATCTATCTATCTATCTATCTATCTATCTATCTATCTATCTATCTATCTATCTATCTATCTATCTATCTATCTATCTATCTGTCTGTCTGTCTGTCTGTCTGTCCATCCATGTCTATGTCTGTTCATCCACCCTTCCATCTATCTATTTATGTCTATCCATCCATCCATTGTTTTTTGGCCGAGTCATCGCTTTTGAAGCGGGAAGGAAAGACCTGGACATGGGTAAGACCACTGAAAGACCCTGAGATTCTATTGGTGGCGGGCACCTGAGAGATTTAAGATCCCATTAGCGGAGAAGCTGATGGAGGAGTGTAATGTGTCAATTTGGGAGGAGTATTAGGACAGAAATGCATTTAAACTCTGTGCAAGCCTGTGTTCGGGAGACACTTGAACGACCTGTCTCTGTTGTTACTGATGCTGTAACAATAAACTGCTTTTCCTAAAGACTTCGGAGATCTCAGACTTTGTCGTTTTTTTTCATAATTTTGACTTAGAGACTTAGAAGATTTTGCAGACCAGAATCTTTTTTCCACAACACCAGTGTGTGGTGAAGCACTGGCGCTGTTGTCCTGTGGCTGCCTTCACATCATCCAAGTGGATGCTGCACAGTCCCCCGGGACTGTGAAGCGCTTTGAGCATATGGTCATGAACAATAAATGTGCTATATAAATACAAATTACATATACAATATACAAAGGACAGTATAAAATGAATGAAAACCTATGTAATGTCCCCACTTTCCACAAAAACAAATGTGTGTGTGTGTGTGTATTAGTGCTAGACAAAGATTAATTCCATCCAAAAAAGCTTCTTTTGACAATATATGTGTGTGTTATATGTGTTTATTATGTATATGTGATGCACACGCACATACATAGAAACAAAACTATACCATATGTTGTCACATAGATATTTAAATGTATATATGATTTATATCATGTACATGTATATTTTATAGCTAATTATATAAACATGTTCTCATATATATGCATCCATGTGTGTGTTAATATATACAGAAGAAATATGCACGTTGGCACAATGCAAACTCCACACAGAAATGCCAACTGACCTAGCCGAGACTCAAACCAGCGACCTTCTTGGTGTGAGGCCGCAGTCCTAACCACTAAGCCAGTGGTTCTCAAAGTGGGGGTCCTTGAGGGGTAGCGGAAAAATGAAGGGGGGTCGCCTGGTGATTTCCAAAAATCTACTTATTATTATTAGACCATAAAAATTAGCATATTTTATCCATAACCAACTGAAGAGAAAAAAACAGCCGTTTATAGTTACTATAGTAGCTTGTTCTATTGTACTTGTTCTATTGGCTTGCGACCCCTGGGGTAAATACATTATTTTAAAAACTCCAACTTTCTGGCCCATTTACAGCACTGAAATACATTTAAAAAATTAAACGAAGAATAGACTTTGGTCTATTGGTGTGTGTGCGCCATTGCATGCAAGTTTTCTGTATTTATAACCACCTCAGGGGATATTGGGGGTCGCGAGTCACTGGTATT